TGTACAAAACATCTATCCAAAATTTCACCGTTTTGCTGACTTGACCATGTGACTTGCCAAAGCGTTTTGCCAAGTCTTAGCTTTCTTTCTTTGGTAATCAATCAAATTGTCTTGACTCAAATGCTTCCTTAGGACTCTAAATGCACGATTTCTTTCTTTTATTGCATTTTTACATTCACTATTCCACCATGGAACCATTTTTCTTTTTCCATTCACTATGCTTTTTGGTATACAAGTTGATGCAGCATTAATAATTGAACACATCACTGCACTAGTACAGCTATCTACATCTCCTTCCATTGATATAGTTTCAGCAGATTCCTTGCAGCATACTCTAAATTTATCCCATTCCGCTTTAGAAAAACACCATCTCTCTATTCTGTAACCTTCCTGTACATGTAGTTCAAAATTAATTGTGCATAATATCATATAGTGATCACTCCCTGTGTTAATGTTATTCAGTATTTTCCATTCACATGAATTGCTCATGTTTCCAGAGACTAAGGTAAGGTCTAGGCATGATACTACGTTTCTTGTAGCATATTCTGTCACTTTTCTCTGTTGCTGCATTGCCACATTCACAATCTTACAGATGAAAGTCACAAAGCTGATTTTATCCATAATTAGTGTATCCTTGTTAATCTTTTTGCAACATGTGATTATTTCTGTTTGCTTTTGATTTTCTGTAAAAGACGGAATCTTCCCACAGGCAGGTTTGTGTTACTTGCTACACGCGTATCTTTAGATCTAGCTAGTTCACTTTCCTTAACCTTTTTAACAGCATCAGCATATGACACTTGATTTATTATCTTGTACTTCTGTAGCTCTCTAGCTTGTCTTTGAACAGGACATCCTCCAAAAGCAGCACTATGTTCTCCTCCACAGCGGCAGCATCTGGTTTTTGCATCTTTATCACATTTGCCATATTCATGTTCCCCCCCACATCAGCCATGATAGTTGCATCCACGGTACAGTTATTGCTAATCCGTCGCCCAAAACACTGTTTGAAAAACGCGCACGAATAACAAGCTTGCAGTCACAGTTTCAGAGCGGGTCTCTGCACAACTTCCGGTCTGAGCGTGCTGTCCGGAAGCAGACCCTCCAGCACTGGAATAGAGTGATACCGAGTTAATGAACTGGAGTGAGGTATGAGCTGACTTCTGAAGCTTTCATATTCTTCATAGTCTGTGTGGTGCTTAGTTGAAAGCAGCTGAATATTAATAAGTGCTGATATTTGCCCCATAAACCTATTTCCAGCTGCATTTTACTTTTATATGCACAAATTTTCTAACCTTATTAGATGTATGCATCTTTTTACTATTAGATAGTTTCATTAATCAATACTTTTAGAATTAGTCACATTTATTTATAAAGCGCTTTATACAATACAGAATCTTTCAAAGCAGCTTCACACTAATGGTGCAATGTAATGCAAAAATGTATTCAAATCTGTTCAAGTTTTGTTCTCATCCAAAGCCAGTGCAGCCAAATCAATAATATTACTGAATATTAATTGTGTTCTGTGCCCCCAACTTAGCAAGCCAAAGGCAACAGCGTGAAGAAAACCAAACTCCATCAGATGACAGAAACAAACAAAAAAAATCTTTGGAAGAAACCAGATTCAGTCGGACACCAGTTGTCTTCTGATCAAATGAACAAACACAGTGATTTATGATTGAATCAGATTTGTGAATGGATGGACATCACTCATTTTCATATCCAAGAGAGTGCTGCATCAAAGGCAGCACTAAGGTCCAGTAACACTAACACAGAGTCACAAGCATGATCAGAAGGAAATGGACTGAACCCTGACTCGAATTCATCGCAGATATCTTTCCAAGAAGGAACAAAGTTGTGGAGATACCAGTTTTTATAGTATTTTTAATAGAAAAGAGAGATTTGGAATCGGTCTGTAGTGAACTAATTTTGGAAGTGGAACAATTTTTGCTCAGAAATTGCTAGTAAATGTCACTATTAATTACAAAGGGGTAATTGAGAATGAATGGGGGAAAGTCACGTGAGAGTGATGCGAAACAGTCTGAATAAGCATTATAATGACGTTAATTGGTAGACTATTTTTAAAGAAAAGAATGTAAACAACTCACACAATTATATATATAATTGTAATTATATATATAATGTCTGAGGATTTCGATATAAACCAAGAGGAGACTAGTATTCCTTTGCTGTAAACAAAACTTGGACGCCGACATCTTACTTCATCCGCTGAACTCCACTCTCATGTACGTGCGTACAACAGTTAGCAGAAGCTAGAGAATACGATTTAAAAGGTTTTAAATATGGATATTATTCTTACACAAATGCATCGATTCACTTCAGGAGGCTTTTATTAACCTCCAAAATGTGGAGTAGGTTTTTTTTTATTTTTCATTTTTTACAATGGATGCATTGGACTACTAAATATCAACAGCCAATCACTGCCATTATAAAGCTTGGAAGAGACAGGACATTTTTTAGTATAACTCTGATTAAATTCGTCTGAAAGAATTACTGTAAGTCATATACAGTACACCCAGGAAGGTTTAAGGGTGAGTAAATCATGGCGTAATTTTAATTTTTGTGTGAACTATCCCTTTAATTGTTTAGATTTTATAATGCATTATCTTCTTGTCAATCCACCAGTTAACTTTTAAAAATATGGGTCAATTTTATCTTTGGTTTGAACAGCAGACGGGCTTATTGAAAATGCTAATTAATTCTCTGCCAGCAGGTGGCACTTTTGGAATGGCAGAAATAGAGCAATTTTCCGGGTAACAGCAGTACACAAAGCAGTGCAGCACCTGACTTTGAAGTGTGCAGTGCTCATATTTATTCAATGAAATAATAGCCTTTTGAAGTTTGATCATCACATTAAGCCATATCTCAATTATTGTCTTTCCACCCCCAAATTTAAGACTTCTTGAAATCATAATTAAGACTTTCTTTCTTTCTGTGATCTAGCTACTGGGGTGCCTCAGGGCTCAGTTCTTGGACCACTTCTCTTCTCTGTCTACATGGCATCACTAGGTTCTGTCATTCAGAAACATGGCTTTTCATATCACTGCTATGCTGATGACACTCAACTCTACTTCTCATTCCATCCTGATGATCCGACGATAGCTGCTCGCATCTCAGCATGTCTAACAGACATTTCTTGCTGGATGAAGGACCATCACCTTCAACTCAACCTTGCCAAGACAGAACTGCTTGTGGTTCCATCAAACCCATCGTTTCATCACAATTTCACCATCCAGTTAGGCACATCAACCATAACTCCTTCAAAAACAGCTAGAAACCTTGGAGTTGTGATTGATGATAAGCTGAATTTCTCAGACCACATTGCTAAAACTGCCCGGTCCTGCAGATTTGATTTATACAACATTAGGAAAATCAGGCCCTTTCCTTTGGTTTGAACAGCAGACGGGGATATTGAAAAGGCTAATTAATTCTCTGCCAGCAGGTGGCACTTTTGGAATGGCAGAAATAGAGCAATTTTCCGGGTAACAGCAGTACACAAAGCAGTGCAGCACCTGACTTTGAAGTGTGCAGTGCTCATATTTATTCAATGAAATAATAGCCTTTTGAAGTTTGATCATCACATTAAGCCATATCTCAATTATTGTCTTTCCACCCCCAAATTTAAGACTTCTTGAAATCATAATTAAGACTTTCTTTTTTTCTGTGATCTAGCTACTGGAGTGCCTCAGGGCTCAGTTCTTGGACCACTTCTCTTCTCTGTCTACATGGCATCACTAGGTTCTGTCATTCAGAAACATGGCTTTTCATATCACTGCTATGCTGATGACACTCAACTCTACTTCTCATTCCATCCTGATGATCCGACGATAGCTGCTCGCATCTCAGCATGTCTAACAGACATTTCTTGCTGGATGAAGGACCATCACCTTCAACTCAACCTTTCCCAGACAGAACTGCTTGTGGTTCTATCAAACCCATCACTTCATCACTTTTTCTTTGTCCAGCTATAGGCGCAACAACCATAACTCCTTCCAGAACAGGCAGGGGCCAATTTAGTGATTTAGGGGCCACAGACAAGATATAGGAATGGGGCCTTATATAGTTGCACACATTTACCTGAATCAACCTTGAGGTTCCTTTATCTGTTGTGATGCTTGCTGCTGCACAACGGTGCCCCATGGTTGTGTCCAATGTTTCTACAGTTTTCATGTATGTTATAAAGGCTTTCTTTCATGTTGTAGACCACAAAGGTGAAATCACACATGGAAATGTCAGAGCGATGTGGAGTGGCTTAGACTTGCCATGTCATAATTTTTATCCCATCCAGTGTGGTTACAGTATTCACGTTTAAACATGTTATGTATTAGAGTAGATTGGACACTAGGTGGTGCTTTGGGGTATTTTTTTTACTGCGCAGTTGCCAACTGTACACTCTCCAAAGGCTGTCAAATTCTAAACTTTAAAATACATTTATTTTTAGTTATTTTAACTACAAATTTAAATGAAACTGAAAAAATATTTTAAAAAGCATGTCCGCACTTAATACGCTTCTCGTTTATGAAAAGCATTTTAGGGGGCCCTTGACTTTTGGGGGCCGAAGGCAGTCAAAATCTGCTACCTTTGCCTAATGGGTAAGTCCACCTCTGCAGCCAGGACCCTTGGAGTTATGATTGATGATCAGCTGAATTTCTCAGACCACATTGTTAGAACTGCCCGGTCCTGCAGATTTGCTTCATACAACATTAGAAAGATCAGGCCCTTTCTAACGGAACATGCTACACAACTCCTTGTCCTACAAAACTCCACAACCCCAGACACACAATGGAAGTGGAACAATTGTCACTCAGAAATAGCTAATAAATGTAACAAATTACAAAGAAACGGCAAGTAACATTGAATTAAACATGACATTTTAAAGTACCAAGACTAATATAGTATATTCTTGTAAAAGTATTCTTTGTTTATTTACAGCTTAAAAAATAAATAAATAAATTATATATATATATATATATACAGTGCATAAGCATCAAGGCTCTGGATTATCATTTTGTTGGACTGTATATACACTTCCAACACACTAGGATCCTTTAGGGCTGCTTTAGGGTGTGATGCAATGAACTCTTCGCTTTTAACAGCCTACATTTTCCTGCTTTTATTGTGTTGTTTTAAAGATGAATGAGGATATTATAAATGCAACATTCTTATCTCTATCTCTGTTGTATTCTTTTAACAGCCACAACCTCACATAGTACGATCTGACCCTGTTTCTACATAGCTAACATCAGCCGGTTTGGAGAGACCTGACCTGTGTGGAGGGAGCTGCTGTACTCACTGCACTCAGCTGTGTTGAAGCTGTTGAAGCTGCTTTGTAAAGATGTGAACGGAAAACCACCAAATTGTCAATATAGGCTATTTTAATATATTGCTTTTCAATTAGGCCCATCATATATAGATTTAATATGCAATTAATTCACATATAAAGTGTATTACTGGTAAAAGCAGTGTTGTGGCAAATTATAAGTAAGTTATCTTATGATGTTATGTTTGTGGGTCTATTGCTGATTGTCTATACTCTCCTGACTAACTTGTCCAGTCTTAAGGTCATCATGTGTTGTCGTATCATCTCTGTTGTCTGTGTTAGCTGCGGGTGTGATGATAGTCTCTTCCACAGTCCGTACCACAGCAAACCTAGAGCTGCCATTAGAACCATCACCAACAATTATTTTGTCCTGTGGTTTCTCATTTAAAGTGGCTTCATCAGTCTTCTGGTTCTCTGGGCTGCTCTCTCTCAGAGTCTCCTGTAACTGACTCCCACAGGCTTTATTTGAGTTTTCATCTAAAGCGGTTTTGGTGGGATCTGTGGGAGACGCTGCACCAGAGCTCCAGCATTCAGATAACTGATCGGCGGTGCTCGACTCCTCCTTGTCCTCCACAAACACCTCCTGTCCTGCTTTAGTCTCCACAGCATTACCAGCCTTATAGAAGCCCAGCAGTGTCACGCTTTTCTTGCATTTGCCGAGGTTCGGGACTTTGCCTTTCACGGCTCCAGCTTCTTTGAACATGTTGCGGATGTTGTATTCCTCCTGAGGTTTTTTGGAAGTGTCTTTATTACCCGTCCTGCTGTCTGAGATTGTTGTGTCATTCGATGTGTTTCCAGGCTTTGGTGTAGGAAGATTCATCGAACCCTGCAGGCTGTTCCTCTTCTCCATGTGAGTGACACGAAATCTGTCAATTTAGGCAAGTATAAAGATGGTATTCAGCTTGGCTATATTCTTTAAACTCACAACCGGGTCAGTTTTAGTGTATTTTAAAGGGGTCATGAACTGCCTTTTCATTATTATGTTGTACTGTTCTCTGAGGTCCACTTATAATGTTATCAAGATTTTTACATCAACACGTATATCATAATTTAGAAGTAATAGACTATTTTCTGTCCTGTTTTTACCCCCCTCATCATGTGCACAGGCAAGTGTCATCGCCAACTACTGGCCTGGCATAAATAATACAGCGTTTTTAGCTGTTCACAGATCCGTTTTGACAGCACAGTCATCTGTATGCAAAACTTTTCAAATACACAAAGGAATAACCTTTCTATTTTTAGTACAATCTTTGTTGTACAAACTTACCCTAAAAAGCATCCTGGGTTCTCGTCTTTGCTGGCAGTGTGGTTAGCGTTTAGGTTTTCTCCTGACTTTATATTTGTTTTCTATGTGTTGTGTTTGACACATGACAGTTTCATGTTTTTTGATGACTTTAGTGTTGTTCTGAAGTGCAGGGCAGTAATGAAGAATGAGTGTGACTGGTAATCAGATGAAGAATCTCACCTGCCCACAGAAAACACGGTCTGCTCTCCCAGCCGGGCTCTGCTTCGAGACACTCGGCTCCTGCGGCGTGTTTTTAACACGTGACTCTGCATACAGTGAACACACGAGCTGATCTCGCCTCCCAGATGAATGGTGTGATGGTGAAGGGGAAGACCACCGACGCTATCTTTGTGACGCAAGCTGCTGAGAAGAAAGAGCATTAGAGAAATAACTTCAGCCTCTACACCTCTATTACATCTGCACCCATTCAGAGATCAGTGTGCACACTAATTCACACATTTACATGCCTTTGCTTGTCCGACATCACTGTGGGGGTATACAGGACCAATGCTAAACTCAGTACTCAATACATTCTACTTCAATATATTACAACTAAAATATTTGCAAACGAACAGGAAGATCATAAATAATCACAGCTTGTGTCATATCAAACTACATATATGCAGACCTAACAAAACATTTGAAACAAAACATGTATTGGTGTTTCTCTGTTTATCAGACAAAACACATATTTAAAGAGTCACAAAAATAATGATCATACCGTGGATCGAGATGTTCGCAAACATTTTGGCCAACCAGCATCTCTTTGAAAGCCTCCATATTGGCTATAACACAAAAATAACAGCATTTTAAACCACGGAAATCATTTAAATGCAGAACAGAACAGAACAGGACAGAGTGAATGATCTGTACCTTCATTCTCAATGATGCATTTCAGGATTTGTTCCACTGTGTCTTGACTGTCTTCTGATTCATCTGAGGGGGAAAAAAAACAGTTTTCTAATTTGATATAATTTTAATTATGGTAATGATCTTGGTGCAAACAGTTTCTTCCACTATTTATGTAAATAGCATTGTAATTACAGCCACTGCCATGTTTTATTAAAGTCAAAAAGTGTTGCAATGTTCTGTGTATCAGTACTTGAGAGAGTGAACCTCATTTTGTGTACTGCAAGGTGGGAAATCATTAAAGGGTTAGTTCACCCAAAAATGAAAATTAGCTTCCGTGTAGGACTGTTGGCGCAAGCTACATTAAAGTGATTATTACGTTTTGAATATGGTTATTTTTCTTACAAAAAGTATCGATTCGCTACAGAAGGCCTTTGTTCACCCGCCGGAGCCGTGTGAGACACTTTTTTATGGATGGGCGCTTTTTATTTAACTT